AAAATGTAGTTCCTTCCTTCAACTTTAATTACATTAATCCCAAAATTTAAATTTCGGGGTCACTGAACTTTAACTTGTATTAAACCAAATAAAACTGAACCACAAAACTCTAATAAATATTTAGAAATTGATTTTTTAATACTGTTTAATATTTCATTTTTTGTTTATCCAATTTGTAAAACTTATGTGACATTACTCGAAAACAATTAAACACTCTCTATGCTTCAATTAAATAAGGAAAAACTCCGCTTTCGGAGTACAATATAATCTCGATTAAAATTGAATCAACCGTCTCGCAGGAGACGCCAATTAATACTCTCAATTCCTGAGAGCAACAAAGTAAATACACACAACTTTGTTGCGGGAGGAACCAAGTCAAACTCAATCGTTTTTCGATTCAAAATTAATGATCACACCTTGAAATCATGTAGAATTTCAATAGTGGAGAGAGCTGTTGCACATAGCTCATTGAACTTTATCGTTGCCAGGCAAGCTTTTTTGCAAGCTTGCAAATTTCTGAGGTGGCGTGATATTAGTTCAATGTTCTCTTTTTCCTTCGATTTATGTTGGTGTATGATATTTACCAATTATTAAACACATACATCCACAGTCTTTTATTAAAATAAATGACTCTTTTGAAACCACTAGAATTAATTTTGAAACATAAATGTTGTTCAATACTTTCCTAATAATTCTACCAAGTAATACAATATTGTGTATTGTTAAAAAAATGAATTTTTAAAAAAATGGTTATTCAATTAGAATTTAAAAAAAACAATTTGTTGTGTTTTTTTGGTAAATCAACTTTTTTTACATTAAAATTCTCTAGTGTTCTTAATTCTAATTACAAATTTATTGATTATTTTCTTGACTTTATATAATATAACTCACTTTTAATTAATAAGAAAAAAAATAAAACGGTTACGATTTTATAAGTAACACATCTAAAGATTTTTCATTGACATTATAAAAATCACCAAAAATCAAAATAAGTTACAGTTTTTTACTAAAAATTGTGGTATTTTGTTTCAATGTTTAGAAGAAAAATCTAAAAAGTCACAATTTTTGAAAATTTCAATTAATTGTAAACATTTCTAGAAATTTATTTTTATAAATTAAAACAAGAAATATGTGAAAACTAAATTTTCTTATTTAATTATTAGTTCAAATTATTTTTAGATAGAATTTAGTAATAGAAAATAAATAAATTATGACTGTTTGTCAGTCTAATGAGTATTTTTTTTAGAATATGATAAAAGACAAGTTAGCCTAAAAAAACTGAGTTGCATTAATGCATTTTTCGTTAAATAATTTTAAAGAATATATAACTAACAATAATTTTTTTAATTGAATTTTTAAAACTATTGGTTGAAGGCAATTCTTTCCCCGATGAAAAATTTGTTAACCCACGAAAAACATTCAATATCCCCCAATGCAACATTCAAAAAAAAGAAAATAATAAACACTTTGTTAAATTTAAAAAAAAATAATTTATTGATTTAACCCTTTAACGCCGGGACGGACACTTTTTTTGAATCATTTTCAACGTTAATTATTTTGGTTATTAGACATGTAGAAAATTTTCGGAATAACATTTTCTGACGTATTTTTTATCGCTCTTTTAGAATCTGTCATCAAAATTGGAAAAAACAAAAATTCCTAAAAGTTATGGCCATTTTTTTGGAAAAAAATCCAAATTTTTGACATTTTGATTCAAAAATGATTTTTTTTCATGTTAGCAGTAACCAGAAAAATTCTTTATCATAAAATATCGCGTCCACAATATCCAAGCTTCAAAGTTATGGACAATACATTTAAAAATTTCAAGATGGCAGATCCAAAATGGCGACAAAAGAATTTTTTTCCCCAAAATTGACACCCTGTGGACTTTTTTTTTAATTCTCCTTTTATCTTCAAGACAAATAGTACTTGAATGTTTTTTGGGTCGCTGATTACGAATATGATGTCAGTTTTCAAAAATTCAAAATGGCGGATCCAATATGGCGGACGAATATCTGAAAAATCATCAGATTCACTTGAAACTTGTTACTCGGGGGTTTTTGGGGTCGCTGAAAACGAATATGAAGTTAGTTTTTAAAAATTCAAAATGGCGGATCCAATATGGCGGATGAATTTTTAAAAAATTATCAAATTCACTTGAAACTTGTTACTCGGGGGTTTTTGGGGTCGCTGATTACGAATATGATGTCAGTTTTTAAAAATTCAAAATGGCGGATCCAATATGGCGGACGAATTTCTAAAAAATCATCAGATTCACTTGAAACTTGTTACTCGGGGGTTTTTGGGGTCGCTGAAAACGAATATAAAGTCATTTTTCTAAAATTTAAAATGACGGATCCAATATGGCGGACGAATTTCTAAAAAATCATCAGATTCACTTGAAACTTGTTACTCGGGGGTTTTTGGGGTCGCTGATACCGAATCTTAAGTCAGATTTCAACAATTCAAATTGATGGATAATTTCTTACTTCATTCATTTAGCTAAATGAATTGTCTATTAGTTAGTCTTTGCAGTCAGTTGTTTTACAACATCATTGAATTGCATTTCCTTTAGAAAGTATATGTGACCCCATCTGAGAAAAGGGACCTTATGGCCAAAAAATCGATTTTTTTATTTTGACAGTGTCTTACACTTTAAGGTCCTTAAAATGCATGTAGTCCTGGGTTAAAAAAGTAATTTCAATTCTTTAAACAAATAAAATATTTTCACTTAAAAAAAGTTGAGTTTGTTCATAATGTCCCTGTTCTCGGACGCGGTCACATATTGTTTCTTACTTCATTGACAACACCAGAAAGACATGGTTTCTCTAAAGAACGTATAAACTTTTAACACAATCTAATCTTTCTCTGAAATTTTCACTACCATATTGAATTCGGAATATTGAATTTTTGAAAACCGGCTTCATATTCGTTTTCAGCGACCCCAAAAACCCCCGAGTAACAAGTTTCAAGTGAATCTGATGATTTTTTAGAAATTCGTCCGCCATATTGGATCCGCCATTTTGAATTTTTGAAAACTGACATCATATTCGTAATCAGCGACCCCAAAAACCCCCGAGTAACAAGTTTCAAGTGAATTTGATAATTTTTTAGAAATTCATCCGCCATATTGGATCCGCCATTTTGAATTTTTAAAAACTGACATCATATTCGTAATCAGCGACCCCAAAAACCCCTGAGTAACAAGTTTCAAGTGAATTTGATAATTTTTTAGAATTTCGTCCGCCATATTGGATCCGCCATTTTGAATTTTTGAAAACTGACATCATATTCGTAATCAGCGACCCAAAAAACATTCAAGTACTATTTGTCTTGAAGATAAAAGGAGAATTAAAAAAAAAGTCCACAGGGTGTCAATTTTGGGGAAAAAAAATTCTTTTGTCGCCATTTTGGATCTGCCATCTTGAAATTTTTAAATGTATGGTCCATAAATTTGAAGCTTGGATATTGTGGACGCGATATTTTATGATGAAGAATTTTTCTGGTTACTGCTAACATGAAAAAAAAATCATTTTTGAATCAAAAATGTCAAAAATTTGGATTTTTTTCCAAAAAAATGGCCATAACTTTTAGGAATTTTTGTTTTTTCCAATTTTGATGACAGATTCTGAAAGAGCGATAAAAAATACGTCAGAAAATGTTATTCCGAAAATTTTCTACATGTCTAATAACCAAAATAATTAACGTTGAAAATGATTCAAAAAAGTGTCCGTCCCGGCGTTAAAGGGTTAAATAGTGCGTTATTGATTTTAACTAGTTAATTCAGTAATTTCTTCTCACTACTTCAATCAGTAGCAGTTATAGCACTGGTTGAACCAGTAACATTTCACTGATTCACAATCGCTAAATTCCAGCTATTTGAATCAGTGAAACCTCACGGATTCAAATCTAGAGAGCGTACAAAAATCCAAGAGAAGAAAAGTAGTGATTTTGAATTTTCGAGGAATTTCTAAAATCTCGGTATTTAAAATAAATTATAATTTCCACCCCTTGGAAGCAAAATATTTAATTTGCTTTCTATGAAGAAAACTTATTATCTCTGGTAAATATTTCGAATTCGTCAAATTTTTGTAAATATACGTGAGTCAAATAAAATGCTTCAGCGAGTTCAGATTATATACATCTACCATTTGAAACTTGAGTCTTGCAAGGGCAGGTCTTCATATCTTAATCGATTTACTTGGTTTCTAAAAGGAGCACAGAAAAAATCCTGTCAGACAAAATCGAGAATTTGTTATGAAACGGTGAATATGGAGATTTGTTGAGAGAGCTTACAGAAAATCACAATACTAATACTAATTAATAAGAATAGTGAGAATTGTTCAAGAATTTTCCTTTTAACTACAGTTCAAACAAAAAAAATTTATTTTTTTATAACATTTGAACTTTAACAAAATATATTCCCCTTTAAATAATTTGAATTCCTTTATGAATTTTTTTTATTGAAAGAGTAGATATTAAAATAATTGAATTTTAATGTTATAGAAATTAATTTAATTCTACTAAGAATTTAATTTAAATTATTCCAAAAATTAAATTGTTAAAATTATTTCATTAAAATCTTTAAAAATTAATTTCGACAAAACTCCACGAACAATCACATCTCTCAGGAAATTCCACCAATACCGCACCAAAAAGAACCAACTCTGCTATGATCTCTTTTCTTTTTTTTTTATTCTTGAAAATAATTGTAAACCTACATACCTATAAAATTTTATTGTTCATGAAACAATAAAATTCTTAGTTTTTTTATGTCATTCTTCACGGAAATAACTGAACCACCGCGAAGAAACTCATAAAAGAAAAACTTGCAAATAACAGAATTCCTCTAAAATTTTATTGTTCAATTCATTCATTCAAATGTATCCTTTTCCAAATTAAAAAAAAATTTTAATTACCCTGAATAAAACACGCTTCTGAAAATTCCTACCGAAAATTTGGGGAAACAACTGAATAATAATAAGGAATTTTTTTATTAGAATTGCTGTAGAATATGGTCCTTGGATTCCGGCACCTTTGCGGATAAATCCCACTTTGGGGTGGGGTTTTAACGAGGAGCTATGGAAGAATAGCCCCTCGAAGAAATATTCAAGGATGATTTGGCGTCAAGAATATTTCTGGCGAAACACAACCGGAGAATACCTGTGCAGAGGATTCTGGGCGACGGTAAGAATGTTGGTTTATAAAGTCCCCTTTTCTCTTTTCTTTTTTTTACTAATTAATTCCTCCTCTTTTTTTAGAGCTGCTTCCGGGATCCGGCCATGCTCAAAAGCGAGGATGGCCATACAGGGATTGTAATAGGAGGGGGATTCAATTGCACCGAGGAAAAAGAAATGTAAGTGCTTTTTAGAAAATAGATTATCGGGATCAGGGCAAAGATTTAGTTTTACTACAGAGACCTTTTTTTCTGGTTTTTTAGTCCCTTAAAGGATCTTCTGTCCCGTGCGCCACCACGTTATGGGGCTTATGCTGTGCGGGAGGAGCTTTTTTTCTCATTTATCGAGGAATTTGTTCTCATAAATGGAGAGATGCTGTGCTTTCGATCCCGCTGGCAATTGGTAAAATAAAAGAAATTTTATCATCATATTTTTTTTTGTTCGCCAAAATCGCATCAAAAAAAACCTTCCTTTTATTAATTAATTTTTAGTGTTATGATGTTCCGGTGGATGAGGCCTGGAAGACCATAGGCCATCGCTCTCTGGCGGAGGGGCGGAAGGCTCGTCGGGAGCAGAAAAGAAGAGCCCGGCTAAGCCGTTGCGAGCACGCTCGTTTGATTTGAAGTTTTCCCTCCTTTTTTTATTATCTAAATTTTTAATGCATTTAAATATATATATATATATATATATATATATATATATATATAAACTTTAAGGAATTAGTTATTTATTTCTCTCTCCTTTTTTTATCTAATATTATCTATTATCCTATTATCTAACGTTATTTAATATAATAGAGAATAGTAATATCACCTATTCGCATCTATATATTTGCTTGTAATTTTAATGTTAATGTTATTTGATGCAGTATATTTTTTTAATAAAGGAAATTGATATTATACTTTGTTGATTAGTTGAATACTTCATGAATCACGCATTAATTTAAAACAAAATGTTAACATTTTTATGAAAGAAAAAAAATCTCTACGCGATGAAAATTATAAGAAATGAGAATTGTGTTGAATTATTAATGCAATTGGCAGGGCAATCCTATGGGACAAAATAGGTGATGCCGGTGAGGATGCGAGTTATTATTCATCATTGGGAGGAAACATTGAGTAGTGGCGACAAGAGGATAGAACAAAGAGGGTAGAAAATAGAGCTTGAAGTTGAAAGATAGAAGGAAAGCAATTAATATTAAAATTTTATCGATTTTAGATTTTTAAAAAGAAATGTATGCTGCTTTCTCATTTCTTCTTTAATTTGCGCAGTAAGAAAAAATTCACTGTCATTAAATGAATCAATTTTAAAATTTTCAAGAGAACATATGCTTGGTTTTTTTAAGGTTTTATTAAATTCATCCATTAGGGAGGCTGATAAAAAAAATAACTACCGTAAGTAAATTTTTAATTATACTGTGATCCTTTAATTAAATTATTATTTCCTAAAAGAAAATTATTTTTTGTTTGAAGTTATAGAAGTCAGGTAGCTTTAGAAAAATTATACGGTTTATTGTTTATATTATGCCTCGTTTTCTCTTCATTGTTGATGTATGTTGGCGAGATTATGATTGTAGATCGCGACAAAATAATCATGAAAGACGTGTCAAAACAAATAAAGGGGATAAAAAAAGGAATATATGGGTAAATCCACAGAACCGGTCGATTTCATGTTACTGACAAATTTCTCTATTTTTAAAGTATTGTATTAATTATTTTCATATTTTTACTACTTTATAAAAGCTATGAGAATCTACTGAATTAAGAAAATTAAATAAATTTTAACATACTTCCCTTATATTAATAATAAAACAGATTAAATTAATTTAAAACATGAAATTTGCAGTGTTACTCAAGGTACTTTTTTCTATTCTTATAGGCATAACTTTTTTGGCATACAACGAAACAATTCTAAACGATGGTGAATTATACTTTACTTTTTGTAGAATGTATTGAAGGTTAAAAAAAAGATGTGCTCTTAATTACAAAGAAATTGTAGTACAGATAAATAGTGTTACTCATTATTTTTGAATAATACAATTTCTGGAAACTTTGCATAATAACTTTTGTGGCGTTTGATCAATTAAAATTTCTTACAACAGTACTTATTCGTCTTCATCAGACGAATAAATCTTCGTATTGTAAAATAATGTGCCTTTAGAAATATAGAAAATATTAAAATAATTATCACCTGAAACTTGATCGTGAACAACTCTGAACATTGCCTTTTTCTAGGAGCACATCTACAGATTGGAATGAAATGAATTGAAAACGTGCGTGATTATTAAAAAGCGTTATTATAATTCTTTTATTAAAATGCCAAATTCTATTTCTAATTTATAATGTCAAAAAATTGAGAATTACAATCAATTTTTCATTATTATTAATTCATTTAGTTCATTATGAATGTATCAGTCAATGTAAAGAATTGACTGTCTTTTCATTTGTTATTTTTTTAAATTTGCGTCAAAATTAAGATAATTCAACTTATAAAATTAAAAAAAATTAATGCCAAAATAATATTTATTAATTAATTATTATATTAATGATAAATATTAATTATCTTATACAAATGATTACAATTAATTCTATTTTATTCTTTAACTTTTGCACATATTACAAAAATATATATAGAAAACAAAAGAAGAAGGAAATACACATTTTTAATTATATTTTCTGAAAAAACTCATTTTCGTTTTTGGCTTTTACTTTGCACGGCATTAAAATAAAATGAATCACGTAAAAAGATAATTGTTCTAAAATAAATTTCGAAAAAAATGAACCATAAATGAAAGCTGTGCTTGCAATTAGAAATTTTTCATTTTTTTAAGTGAAAATCGACCACTTCCATGGATTTGCCCATATGTTTTCTCTGTATGGTTGATAAAAAAAATTTTCTCTTTTTTTTATCCCTTCTCTTTTTTTTACAGAAAAAATATCAATTCATTGTTATAGTATGAAAAGGTCAATTTAGTAGGAGGAAAGAATATTCCGTCATAATAGGTCTAGAAAGTCAAGAATGCGGACATTATGTATTTTATTTCTTTTAATAAAGCAAGTTTACCGGGAATTTTCTTCCCTCCTTATATCTCGGAGTTTTCGTGGAAACAATAAAATTGTTTTCAATAAAGGATGGAGAAAACAGATCTTTTAAAACATTGATTTGCGCCAAGAAGGCGATCTTTCTCTCCTATACTTTTTGTAGAGACAATATCAATTCATTGTCATAGTGAAAAAAATTGGGGAGGGTTGAATTGAGTAGGAAGGAAGAATATTTCGTCAAGATCCAATGAGTCTAACATGCGGACTTCATGTACTTTAATTAATTTTTTTTGTAAAGTCAATTTTACCGGAAATTTTCTTCCCTTCTTATGTATCAAAGTTTTCGCGGAACAATAAAAACTGTTTTCGGGAGGGGATAGAGAAAACAGATCTTTTAAAACATTGATTTACGCCAAAAAGTCGATCTTTCTCTCCTATCTCCATCTCCATTCTATTTTCGTAGAAACAATATCGATTCATTGTCATAGCGTAGACAGGGGGTGGGTTAATTAAGTAAATGTATAAAACCGTTTTCAGAAGAGGACAAAGAAACTGATCTTTTAAAACATCGATTTGCGCTTAAAGGTGATTTTCTACTTTTTTTATTTCTTCCTCCTCTCAAGAAAACAAGGTCTTACAATCAGGTCAACGAAAAGACAAGAGGAGAGGGAAATCGGGGCGGGGCATACCGATTATTTAAAACATCGATGTGCTCCTAAAAACCAATTAATTTTTAATCAAATCACTAAGTCTTTCTCTCTCCCTTTGTCTATCTGAACTTAGTCAATTAAGGACATGGGGCATTTCTAATGCCATAGCGGAGAGCAAGTCAATTAATACATTCACTAATCAACTTAGATTTTATAACCGAATTATAAGAACAAGTTAGGCGGACGAAAATAAAATCGAAAGCTTTAAAACGAACGTTAGTAGAAGTAAAAACTTCAATTCGACAAAATGTAAGGAAGTGAAAATCATTACATTTAACGAGCTCAAAATTAGAGATTAATAAAAAAATTTTCTTGCTCTCCTCCTTTTCATTTTGGATCAAGAGGGGAACATGTTCTTGGGGTGTTTTTTTTTCTTTGTGTATGATAGCAATTTTACGCTGGTTGGAGCTTCTGTGTTGGGAGTTGAATCCGCATCTTCACAGTGGTCTTCGGTGAGGCGAGGAATGATACTCGTTTGGATCGAAGAGCATCTTTCAGTTCTGCCTTCTCGACCTGCTGCAGTTGTTCGAGATGTTGTTTTGGTCTGGGCGTTGTCAGTCATCTGATCTTCGGTGATGGTAAATCTTCTCCTATATAGGATGCGTAGACGAGGATTTTTTGGTTCTGTCGAATATGTCGATTGATGGCGAAATCCTCAAGTTGTCTCTCCAATTCATTCAAGGTTTAAGAATTTGCCTCGAAAGTAGAGAACTTCGAGTCGGTCGTATCCTTTTTTTGATTGTCATTAGTAGAGGTTAGTAAATAACCGTAATTGGAAATTACTGGAGACAACTCTGTTAAATTTAAATGCAAGTCGGGTTCGTAAATGATTTCTGTCTGTCCGACTTGGGAAATGGTTGCTGGGATTATTGTGTCCTGGGTTCTGGCCATACAACCTGGGCCAATTTCAAAATTCCAGTTCCATTGAGACTAATTTTAATAGGTGTTATAGAGAGACAAATAATCACCACATCTTCTGCTTTGGAAAAAGAATATAGCCAGCTAGAGAGGGTAGTTAACGGTTTCCAAAAAGACTCAGGGTTAGTTGTAATCTGGATCTCGCAGGTTCTTAAATCGTCGATAGTTGGATTGTTTAGAAGCGAAGGCTCACAGGCTGGTCTTTCTTTTAGATCATATATGGGGACTCCGTTCAGACAAGCATGGTATGATGTCGTCGATTTACAGGACTTCCAATCTTGTTCCGTGAGTAAAAGATAGGTGTGTTGTTCTTTGTCTATAATAAGGTAGTCGTATTTTCTTTTAATATAAGCTCTTACTGTCCTATCTCCCATTGCTTTTTGTATGGTTGGGAGAGAATGCATCCTCAATGCCTGATAGTTATATTTTTCCAGCAGAGGAATGTCGAGGAGAATTTTCAACTGCTGTTCAGCACAAAGGACGGTGACTGTTGATATCCGCACTAGTTCGTCGATGCTGACTGAATGTCCAGAAAGTGGGAATTGTACGTCAGTGATATGATCCTGAATATCGCGTAGGATAGGCTCCAGCTGTTTCGATGAGATTAACCCAAGATGTAATTTTCCTTGCCTGGCTTTATGGACTGCGTCTAACATGGTTTGTGTGGTTTTTATGTTATGGTCCAATTCCGTCTTCAGGGCTCTCAGTAAGTTGAATAGAGCATCTCTTCTTTCTAACGTTACCTTTACTGCTGATAAATTTTCCTGATTTTCAATCAATAGATCTAATTTTTGATTGATGCTGTTTATCAAGGAACCTTGTCTTTCGACTTGGGCGCGAAGGGTGTCTAGCTGTGACCTGACAACATGGGTTTGGCGTCCAGCTAAGTGGGATAGGTTGGCTTGGGCGGTGTTCAACTCCTGGATGATGGCGTCGTATTTTTCTCTATCCTCG